ATAGAAGCTCACTAGGTTAGATTAGGGTTTTAAACAGAGCAACCACTTCAGCCTACGTTCAGTCGAGCCAGAGAAAGAGAGAGGAATGAACGCAGTAGAGAGAGAAAAGAGCGAAAGGAGCAAGGGAAGAGATGGAAGGAAGGGGCAACACAGAGAGAGAGAGGGGGTGACGGAGAGAGAGACGAAAGTGAAAGTAGAGAGAATATAGATCTGTCAACCGGTTGCTCCGGTGTCAAATTTTTCAAAATTAAATAATTCAACCGTCAAGATCAACTTATGTAATCTAATGGTCAATAATGAAGGTGCATATGGTGTGCAACCTTTTAAGGGTTGCACACTACAACGTGACCCATATTTTATATAACAGTTGTGTTTTATTCTATAAATAAAAAATAATAATAAATTGTACCTAGACTTTTAATTGATAAAAAGACAGTCTAATTTTAGCACTTTTTCAAAAATTACTTTAAGTTTTAGGGCTTGTTTGGGGTGTCATAAATAAGTGTACTTTTTGACTTTTTGGACTAAAAAATTGAGAGAAAAAAGATAGTTGTTTGGAATAAATTTTTGACTTTTTATAAAAAGTTGTGTAATATAATATTAGTTAACATGATAAAATGACTGTTTTACCCTTCGTAACTTACACACATTCTCTTGCGTACGTGTCACCGTTGCGCAGCGTCACTTTACGTCTGTGGTGACAATCACTTGCAACATATAATTTTTAAATATTTTTCTTCATTTCCATGGATACTGTGCAACGGTCAAAGGCACTTATATTTTTTTTTTATTCATAATTTTTGTTTCTGTTGCAGCCAATTTTTTTTTTGTTTTTCTTTTCCCTAACATTTTTGTTTTTATTATTTTTCATTTTAAAAGAATGTATTTTTTTAATTCTTTTCCGTTTATCATTATTATTTGTTTTATTTCTTTCATTTTTTATTCAATTTTTTTTTTCATTCTTTTCCACTTAACATAATTTTTTTTTTTCTTCCCGTTGTAGTCGGTACTTGTCCTTTTAATATTATTAATTTTTTTGTTTTCATAATTTATTCAATTTCTTTTTTCCACTCTTTTCGTTATAATTTTTGTTTTCTTTCTTTTCCTTTGTTGTGAATATTTCTTTTTCATTCTTTTCGGTTTTTTTTTCTTCTCCTTTTCACATTTATATTTTATTTTTTATTCTTTTCCTTTTAATATTATTAATTTGGGTTTATTATTTTCCTTTTTTTGTCATTTTTTTGTATTCTTTTCTTTTTACGTGTAAATTTTTGTTGAATGTTTTCATTTTTTATTCATTACATTTTTTCTTTTCCTTTCAATTTTTTTTTTAAATTCTTTTCTTTTCGCTTTTATTGTTTTCGTTTTAACAAATTTGGTTTCATTCTGTTTTTTATTGCTTTTTTTGTAATTTTTTTTTCTTTTCCTTTTTTATTATGCCCAGTGCTGTTCTAGGTTGTTCAACCAAGTTTTTTTATTTTATTCTTTTCATTTCGTTTTCAATAGTGTTTTTTGGACATATGTAGCATAAAATTGGATACAAAACTTTATCAACTTCCTGCTGTGAAGTATTACAAATTTAGAAATACAAAACACATTAACAAACCATGATAATAATCTTGCGACGGATCTGAGTTACACACATTACAAATTTAACCAACATTCATGTTTCAATTATTCGTGTTCAGTTGCTGGGCTAGTTGGTACGTAATGTTCGCTCGTACAACTGTCATTGCGGGGTCGGAGTCCCCTTCCTCAACCACATCCGCAACCCGTGCGTATTCATCGTGGTCGGGCATTTCGGGAGCCACGTATTCGGTGCTATTTGCGATAGGAACTGTGACCTCATCAATTTCACTGTTTCGGCGTATGAAGTTATGTAACGCCATCGACGCACACACGAAGATCACTTGATTAGCGAAACTCAACTTCTGAATATTCCGCAATGCCCCCCACCTCGACTTCCACGCACCGAATGTCCGCTCGATACAACTACGCAATGACGAATGTGCCTTATTGAATAGTTCGAACTCATTTTGTGGTCTTCGATTTCGATGAGCATTTTGGTGATACCTATATCCCTTGTATGGGGCTAGGTACCCTATCTTGTTGTTGTAGCCGCTATCCACCAAGTAGTACTTTCCTACAACGAACATTTTTTTACAAACAAGTTCTTTGAGAAAAATAATTTTGCGTCATTTTTTTTTTCCAGAGGATATTATCTATTTTTGGTAAGTTCTCAATTACGATAGCAAGTACGAATGTGTAATTTGTCTTATATTATTTTCAGATTATACTACTTTGTTACGTAAGATATACTTTTACCAGGTGCGGGGTGCGGGAAGCGATGTTTAGGTTCGGTTGTTACGTAGTGCAGCACCCTACTGTCGTGCATGCTCCCGTCCCAACCGGCTGACACAAACGTGAAGCACAAATCGAAGTCACATACGGCCAGTATGTTCTGTGTTGGGACGCCTTTCCGGCCGTAATACGAAGTGGCGTACTCTTCTGAGACACGAGCCATCACGTGCGTGCCGTCTAGTGCACCGATGCAGTCCTACACAACGCACCATTATGCAGAATATATAAATACTAATTCATGGTATATGTCGCCACTGTGATATTTAAAATTATGTGAAACAGTCTCACCTTGAATGGCCGGTATCGCCGTTGTGATTGTAATTGTGGGTGGCCCCCCAGTTGCACTTGCTCAGGTGTAAGACTCCTACTATGAACCGCTGTGAACGGTATCATAACATTCAAAACCTCATGGAAATGCCGTGACAATGTCTCCTTCGAGTGTTGGAACCGTTCTTGCAAATCTTTTATCTTCATTCCCAGCAATGCACAAATGAAAATGGCTACCTTCTCTTCTAGCGGAACGCCATGCTCCCGCTGTGGCAGTGTCAATCCGAAACTATGAAGAGTGTCGCATAACATCAAGAACACTGGTTTGGACATGCTGACAGCATCTTCAAACCGGCCTTGGTGACCGTTAAACAACTCATACATCCATAAACGTCCTGTAAGTATGGATGTATTTCGAGGCACTCTGTGATAATGGTTGTAGTAATATGTAGCTGCACTGTTATACGCCTCTAGGAAGTTGTGATCAGTTCTGACCATCATTTCCCGTGCAATTTCATCGATAGCTTCCCGGGCTGCATTACTGGGCACAGTGTAACTAGGACCTGCGTCGTCTGCCATTCTGGAAACCTATAACGCAGCATATACAGAGCCAAACTGGTTTACCAAAATCTGACTTCGCAAGTACGAGGCTGCCTACCAAGAAAATTGTTACGCCTTTGGACAATGAAACAAGCAGATTGGGGCGAGGGTAAGAAAGCAGACATGTCAACTGATTTGTGGTCTTATATAAACAAATCAAAGACGAGCATGCGCAAAGATTGGGATAGGACCTTTGAAACCAAAATTTCAACAAAGCAACACAAACGGATTCTCTTCTTTGAAACCACAAAATTGAGCATGCGTAAGAAAGGATTCTCTTCTTTGAAAAGAATATTGTGGTGGGACCGTTGAAACCAAAATTTCAACAAAGCAACACAAACGGATCCTCTTCTTTGAAACCACAAAATTGAGCATGCATAAGAAAGGATTCTCTTCTTTCAAATAATCATGTGGTGGGACCGGTGAGTTGAAAACTTTCAACAACTTCACGTGGTGTCCATGCAAATTGGGCAACACACAAATCATTGGGGGCTTCAACAATAATTTGTTCTCTTCTTTTTGGTAATAGATACCAAATTATTGGTGTATATGAAACTGTGTGCTGGGCCGACAAAACATGTAAGAAAAACAAAAACCAATCCTCACGTGTCATTTTTTCGTCACCTTTAAAAAAAAGGGAGTATTGATTATAATATAAATAAATAGATAAAAACAAAACAACGGTTCGAATATCGTCCTTATATTTTTAACAACAAAAATTAGAAATTAGTGATAAATTATTACCATTTTTTGACCATATTTTTTGTCTCAAAAAATAAAAATTTTTTAGACCAAATTATTTTCTCCAAAAAAATGTATTTATTAATAACCTTTTAAAAATTGTCCCTAAATGTCTTGTTTTTATTTTTCGGGACGACCCTAAAAATTATAAATTTAATTATTAATATGTATAAAACTTTTCATTAATTTAATTTAATTTTAAAAAAAATAACCTGGTGTGGAATCAACTAATTTCGTGTACTTTACAACTTTAATTTTTAAAAAAAATAACCTGGTATCCCTAAACAACTAATTTTTAAAAATTTTGTTATTAATTTAACAAATTATAGATGGATGAGATTGACAAAGTAGTCCGAACCACCAAAAATGAACTCATCCAAAAGGGTCTATAGATAATGTATTTGTCATCACCATCACTTAAGTGACCAAAAATGAACTCATCCAAAATGGTCTATAGATAATGTATTTATGTTTCATGAAAAAGAAATGATAATAAACCTATTTGGCAGCAACAACCATATACTACAACATCAACATCAGTACACAAATATTATCAACTGATAATGTTCGAAAAATTCAACCAACAATGCCATCGTTTTGGGAAGGAAGGAGATGTGCCCAACTGTTTGTTTCAAGGGGGAGAAAAACAAAAGGCAACACACAAACATTACGTAGGAAACATTACATCAATATTCACTAGCAGCCACCACCCAAACATTAATAAAGAAGCAACACACAAACATTAATAAGGAAACACAAATTATTTGCTCGGAAATCTCAGAACCAGCCACCACCCATTCTGGGATTTGCTACTGATGGGCCACCAATGCATTGCTCACGGGACTTCTTTGTTCGCAACCAAGCAATGACAGCCGCGTCTGTAGGAATCGACATCATTATGGCTTGATTTGCAGGGTTGTCAAGTACCGATTGAGCAAAAGGAACTAGCGGGTCTTGCGGATCCAGCCCTTCCAACGAATACAACCGTGTCATACACTTCTCAATTAGCTGCTGTGCCGAATCTGCGTAATCATGTGAGACGCGGATTTGTCGTTGTTGTAATTTCACAGAGGATGCAAGGTTTTCCATACTACTCGCCAACAGAGAAGCTCCCTCACTCTGCCCTCTTTTCCGCTGTGGGTGTGTTGGGCCTGGCGATTTGCGTTTGTTCATGCCACTAGTTGGTGTGTCGTCAGCGTTAATGCTCGACGACGCAGCGTGCACGGGTGCCGGCGTGCCATCCTCTTGCGCAACAGTGTGCTGCACAGTGTGTTCATGCTGCGTGGCAGGCTGGAAAAGGGGCAGCCCGCTGCTATCCTCGCAGTCTTCATCAGGCGCCTACGAAGTACCGTCATCGGGTGCCACAGGTTCGAACGCTGCACCTGGTGTCCATGCATATTTTCCGGTTGCTGTAGCGCCTTCGTACACCCTTCGCATGAGGTCCATGTGCTCCAACGGTTTTGTTTTGAACTTGATTGCATTCTTGTCAACCTAAGAAAAACAACCAAAAACCCATCGGCAGAACTTCATGTCAGATAGAGAAACATAGAATAATGGGGAGCAAACACAGGCAGCAAAGAAATAGGCTTATGTATCCATGTAAATAACGTACATAATAACGGTTATTTGTAGATTATTTATTAAAATAAAAAATAGATTGATTCGGTAGTCACATAATGTCAATATGTTTGTGTTAAAGAAATAGATAATGTAGCCCATAACCAACCTATTTGGATGATCTATATTGTTCATTTTATGGACTTATATTTGTAGATTATTTATTAAAATAAAAAATAAATTGAACTAGACAGTCACATGATTTCATTATGTTTGTCTTAAAGAAATAAATAATATATTTTCCAAAGCATACGTTTTATTGGGTGAAAATGAGTACTATTATTGGGTGAATAATATTTTTATTAATAATTGACATACAGCGGATTCGAAGGAGCAACGGTTCGAATTATGAATTTAAAGGCTGTAGTGGGCTCAACAGAACCAACTAGATGGCTCAATCTTCTCTTCAGTTAACAGAGAAGGTAGACCCCATTCCAAATATTATGTAAAAAATTGAAATGGAGATACAAGGTAATAAACAAACAACACGTACGGGTCTAAAAAATGTTCAAAGCAATACAACAAGAAAGGCCTCTATGCTGATAAGGAGATATGAATTGTAACTTCTTAGTAACGAACATAAACTCGTAACCAACGGATTAACTTATTATTTTATTTTATAGGCTACCTTATGAGGGAGTCGTTCGAGTATTTTGTCTAAAGTTTCTTACAAGTATTAAGATTGTGCAAGGTGGGCCACATGGTTAAAGACTGCCCCTTAAGTTATGATATTTCCCAACTTTGTAGCTTAGTGTGTGTTCAACCTGTGAACTGTGTAGGGTTGGCAACTGGGGAGACACGCTCTAGCATACTGTAGCCCAGAACTCTGTGAGTAACAATTGTGTAAAATCATGTAAGGCAAGAGATGATTATAGTGGTTTGAAATATGAGACTATGGTTCTAGATGTAGTAACACTTAACTTTTTTGTCCCAATAAAGGATGATGTATAATAATAGTTTTTGTTCTTCTTTGTGACCTCCCAAAAAGCAAAGAATCATTCACATTTATCAACCATTTTGTAATTTATCAAATTAAGTAAGCATAATGGAAAAATAATAATGTTAATAATCTAATGGGGAAAAAATTAGGATAAAGAAAAGATGTATTCTTTCTTTATATTATTTCCATGATAGTGGTAAATAATACTCTACTCCCAGTCCAAAATGTTATTAGTTTAAGGTTCTAATCAAGTTTCATGTACTAATTTTATTTCTTAAATTATTATGTACATATAAAAACATGAATTACAGATTCCTATGGTGGTGGGGTACATCGACAAGGCTAAATTAGAGACACAATACGAAATGTCACAATTATTTATGTTTAGACCCAACTAAAAAAACTAGGGTGTACGTAATAATCTACACAACGCTCCATTGAAAATAAGCTTAAGCATCGACAATACTAACGGTGTAAGTTTCCATGTAAATGACGTACGTAAAACTCGTTGTTGAAATGTTACCTTTTCGTAATGTGCCCACCAATCGTCAGATGCTTGTATCAAACCCATGGCTTCATTGTAACTGATGCCGGTTGGCCCATGCCTGCTGTCCATCAATTTCGACCATGACTGCCAATCCTTTTTCAGCAACGAGTACTTGTTCTGCAGTTGTTTGACCTCATGCACCTTATTTGTACGGTCCAGAAAGCCCTTGCTTACAGCTCGATATCCATGCATTGTCATTGTATGGAAGCTCCCCTTGAAACCAACGTCCAACTCTTTGATAACAAGTTCCAAAAAAATCCGCACCGTGTCGGAGTCCCAAGATGCTTTATGCACGTTTGTGGACTGTTGCTGCGTCGGTTTACTACCGCGTTTGCGCAAAGCTTTGGAAGGCATCGACTGCGTTTGGGACTGCTCCATTTGCGTACTACAATGCAACAACAATTATGGTATACGAGGAAAAATTGAAGACATTGAAACTCATAATGCGAATAAAATAAAAAACATATGAACAACTGTGTAACAGCTGTCCTCCAATACAACCGTCTTAGAACATTGTTATTGTTTTTTTCGTCGGCTCACACTACAGGTCTCCAATGATTTCCTCAAAATGTGTACCACAGAACGAGCTCATCTGTGTAATTAAAAAGCAACATAGTGGACAATACAGAAACAACTTTACAACAGAAATCCTAGAGCATGTACCCTGGTCAATGGGATCTCTTCAGAAACGAAATCAATGAACACTAACAATTGTATGCTAATCCGAAACTTCCTGAAAATATCTATTAGATAATGAACTTGTCTGTAAAACTAGAAGGTGATAGAGGACATTACAGAACAACTTTACCAGAGGAACCCTACAGAATGTTCCCTGGCAATTGTCAATGGACCATTATCTCTTCACAAATGACATCAATGAATGCTCAAAACAATTTATATGCTAGTCGAACCCCTTAATATAGGATTTTGGTTGCAATGAAGAGTGCCTTAAACAAATATCTCTAGTATGAATATCACATTCCATGGCAGAAAACCAAATTCAATTACAAAAGGTTCTCCATAAAAACAAATATATTAAAGATGGCAGGTCGTTTTTGAAAATATGATTCCAAAATTTCCATAACATAAAAATGTGCCCAACCAAGACCCAGAAGGATCAGTGTAATTGTTTGGAAGTAGCTCTACTTTATTTGTTGGACAGATGGGCTATAAAGGAATGCATTTTTACTCAGAAATACACTGATTTGCAGATCAGTATCCCATTTTTAATTCTTTGTTCCATTTCTCCCACCCGCATCGTTTCCAGCAAGACTCAATGAAATAGAAAAAAAAAAATTCATAACCAAAATCAGAAATGACAACAACAAACCGTAGACACACAACAATCACAACAACAACGTCATCGTCTTCCCTGAAGTTGGTCTTGTTCATCTTCAGAGACAGAGGGTTCAACTGATTGTGAAATTCGAACTGAAATCGTGGAGAGATGCTTAGATCGTGAAACAGATCGCCGAACCAAAATTCACATCTTACAACCAGATCTGTAGATTTGGTTTAGGTTCCGGATTCATAGAGGGTTTCGGTACAGAGAATAGAGGGTTTCGGTGTTATAGATAAGAGAAGAGAGGTAGGAAAGATAAAAAAGTTTTGGAACAAAATCAGAGAAAGGAGAGCGAGTGAGAAAATTAAATTGCGTGGAAGAGATGTTACCTTGTAGTTAGGGAGAAACCGGCCGGCGTGGTGTAGATCAGGTCGGAAGTGATGCAGATCTGGGCGACGGATTGTCCGATAGCCATCGGTTGCTGTTAAGTTGCGATCGAGTCCAGGTCGGACTTCCCCACGGCTGTTGCGGTGCTGGACGGTGAAGGTTACGACGGATCTCCGGCGTCGCTGGTGTGGATATCTCCGCAGACGGATTGTCCCCTTTTGGTCTTCGATCTCGGCAGAACTCCACTGATACAGAGAGAGAGAGAGAGAGAAGGGGATCTTCGGGTGAGAGTTTAAAGGGGTTGAGGAAGGAATAAAAAAAACAGGGGCAGAATAGTATTTTTACCCTCCATAGGTTTCTCCCAAATTTGGCCGCCCAAAACATGAAAATGGGGTGACTTTTTGACTTTTTTGATAACTTTTTGGCTTTTTGGCTTTTTCGTAGCATCCCAAACTTGGCCTTAATATAGAGATCCATTACCTATCCAAACTCATTTGAAATTTGCTCAAATATAATCAAACCAAACTTAAAACACATTTTAAAACTAATTAAAATTTTAAATCAAATTTGAATAATTTATTACTCATTAAATTTCTCTTACGAGTCTATTAGGCCATGTTTGTTTAACGGTGTAAGGGGCTGAATTGGATTAGTATGGGTGTGGGTCTCACCCACACTTTGTTTGGTAATGATTTGGGAGGGAGATTAACAGTGTGAGGGGCTTAGTAATGATTTGGGAGGGAGATTAACAGTGTGAGGGGCTTAGTAATTCCCATCAGGAAAGGGATTAACTTGGATAGATTTTGGATAAGATTAGAAAAATAATGAGAGAATTGAGTCTATTTTATATAATTTTTTTTTTAATTTAATTTTTTTATCAAGTGCACTTGTTCATTTTAATATTTGTTTTAGTTTTTCTTTTTAATATAGAAATAATTTTATTTATTTATTTTTTATAAAAATAATTTAATAATCTCATCACTAACCATCTTCCACACTATCATCAAAATAAACACACTTTTACTTAATTCCTTCACCAACAATCTCTACATTAACAATTTATTCACTAATTATCTTCTCTCTAACAATCATCCAATTTAATTTGCCAAACAAATGTGGCCTTGATAGTCAACCAAAACCGGAGATTCCAGTGAGAAGGTGTTTATCCTTTTATATTATTTACTCACAACACAATTTATTTTAAAAAATAAAAATAAAATTTAATTAAAGACAAAGTCATGTAAGGTTTTTTTTTTTTTTTTTTTTTTTTTTTTTTTTTTTTTGGGGGGGGGGGGGGAGAATCAAAAACCAATATATCAAAACAAACTTTTAATTAGGAGTCCATGGTCCATGGGAATCATGTTTGCAGGACGGGAGCTGTTATAGTGTGCAACCCCTTAAGAGTTGCACACCATATGCAAGTTTATTATTGGCCATTGGATTACACAAATACATCCTCATCATTGAATTCTTTAATTTTGAAAAATTGAACATCAGAGCAACCGGTTAACCATCTCCAATATTAAAATATTCTCTCTCTCTCTCTGTGCTTTCACTCTTTCGTCTCTCCTACTTCCTCCTCTCCTGCTCCTCTCGTTCTCTTCTGTCTCTATCGTGCTCATTCGTCTCTTTTCGTCTGGCTCGATTGACTACGCGTTCTAAGTGGCGGTTTGGTTTAAAACCCTAATCTAACTCAATGAGCATCTGTTTGGTTTCTGAGAAAACGAAGGATTTTTTTTTTGAAGAGCAATCAACAAGGTATGCCTCCCCTCTCTCTGATTATTTCTAAAGCCCTAAACCCTCTTCTAAAACTCCATATTTTTTACTCTCTTTGGATTTTTCTGAAATCATCCCTCTTCTAAAACTACACTCTCTGATTTTTACCCTATTTGCTGTCTCTAGTGTTTTATCTGAATTCCTTTCTATTCCAATGTCTCTTGGCTCACACTGATTCAACATTTGTACTGAAGTAAGGCTTGGTAAGGATTTTGTTCTTGAAAAATCTAGAAATCCCTTAGATATTGATTTGTGATTATGTATCAATTTTAATTATTAAATAGCAATCCCAATCAAACAATCAAAGACAAATCAACACAATGATTTTACGTGAAAAAACCACAATTGGAGCACCTCCAATTGTGATAAAAAAATCACGAGCAAAAGTCACAAAACAATTCACTAAAAAGACATAAAGGAATTACACAGGGATACTCTCAATTACCTAGCGAATCTACGCCTGAATTGAACTAACCCCTATTTGCCTCTTTCAGCCCCGTCTTCACCTCAGAATTGTTTTGCCCAACGTTAAATCCACAACGCCGATATCGAATCACGACGATGAGCCACTCCAGAATCCACCAAAGTTTCAGGCTCGAATTCTTCAGAATCCACCGAAGAACAACTTTATCTTTTGTATAGAATAAACAAACAATCATTTGATATATACTTCTTAAACCATGAGTTGAATACTCAATCAAACATCAAAGAAAACTAGCAAAATAGCCCAGATATAAACCCTAATATCCAAAAAAAAGATCTGGAAGCGTAACCCTAGATTTGGAGCAACTTGAGGTTTTATAGAAACTGAGATCGCGAGGTCCGCTCGAGTGTGGGAATGGATGCTCAAGCAGGGACTCTATATCGCATGTTCCAAACTAGGATGTACGCTCGAGCGGGAAAATGGACGCTCGAGCCTAAAAACACGCCTCACAGTATATTTACAGACAGGTCAAACTACTGGAATCCAACATTCTCCGCTCGAGTGTACAAACATTTTTCGATCTCCGTCATAGTCAGCGAAGTGGTGTGGCTCGGCTTTTTGCACCCCTTTTCGGAAGGTTTGAAAGAAGCCCTACAGTTCGGACTCCTACAGTTCTGAATCTAATCCCACAAGTGCAATGTGAAATTGATAAACACCAAAGAGTCCAAATCCGACAAATCTTTTGGAAAATTGATTTTAGGATAAAAAATGCCAAAAATGGACTACTTTACCAGACACAGAGTCGCCACCTAAATATTTTTTGTTTGGAAAAATTTAGGAAACCCACGACTCGTGTCGAAGGCCACGTGTTCGTCATCACCAAAGTTGTCTCGATTCGGGAACTTAGGTACAAGAGGGGATGGTCATGAATTGAGCATCCCTGCTCGCCCGATCAAAGATCGGCCTCTACTAATCATGATATGATTTTTTATAAACATTATGTGCTCTTATTCCGGTTGTTAAACTAGTTTTACTATGTGATGCGTACAAGCAAGTATAAACTAGTTTGCTCAAGTTGGAACAATTCAACTCATATTTGTTTGCGAAAATGGTTTGAATTTGCCACCTCAAGTGGGCTTAAAACATAATTTTCCACTCAACAAAGTAGGCTTAAAACATACATTTGTTGAATCGTTCCAATTCAAACAACAAGCCTTCATCCATATGCATTCAAGCAGTTTAGCATTTAAGCACATAGCCTCATGGCAAGCATGCTAATCATGGTAACATTCACACTTATGCAAGTATGCTAAAGTATAAAAACTCACCTAGTACACAAAGCTAAGAAGATAAGAGTTAGAAAAATATGCATGGTTCCTAACTATACAAGATGTCTAATGCAACACATGC